CAGAGAAAAAGAGGAAGACCCCTAACGAGATGGATTGGCCAGATGGCATCAAGTGTGGCAGTGGTAATGAGGTTGGCCCAGGATCAGACATTGTTTTGTTCTGCTGTGCATGGGGTCTCTATGAGTCAGTTCTGACTCGATGGCATCTGACAACAACAACAAGGTAATTACTTCTCATTTTGTGATCTAATGTGAACAGCCAATCAGTTGAAAGGAGAATTTCCTTCAGGGTGTGGCCTACCTCCTATACATAAATGGATATTCTGGCAAAGTTGACTCTTTTTTTCTCACCTTTCATTCTTCTCATCACCTGACCTGCAGTTCTTGGGATATAGCCTATAGAAATCTCTGGCCTGTCACCTGACCTGCAGATTTTGGATTCTCTATCCCCACAACTCTGTGAACCAATAGAAGCCTCCAGCCTGTTGCCTGACCTGCAGATTTTTGGTCTGTCAGTCCCTGCAACTGCATAAGCCAGCAGAAGTCTTCACTCAGTCATCTGGCCCTTAGATTTGGGACTTACCAGCCTCCACAGTCATCATTTCTTTTAAGTAAATTTCTCTTTCTATATATTTCTATACACTTCATTGGTTTTGTTCCTCTAGAGAACCCAGACTAAGACAACAGGTCTCCAAGGTATTTAACTGATAAAAATAAGGAGCAGGTCATTATATAGAGCATTATATAGGTCATTATATACAGCATTATACAAGCCATGATTAAAAAAAAAAAAATTCATCTATTTAACAGTGATAAACTGTGATGGAAGGTGACTTTGAGATTAGAAGCTTTGGACAGGAGAGAGTCTTTACACTGTCCATTACTGGGCATGTCTCTGATTGCTATTTGATACTGTAGGATAAGCACTGGACCGCAAGATCGGTTTGAACTGCAAGGTTGGCAGTTTGAACTCACCAGCTGCTCTTCAGAAACCCTATACAGAGGTCTTCAGTCAGTCAGAACCGACTCGACGGCATTTAACAGCAACAACAACAATGTGCAGGCATAACTTTTTCCAACAACAAAAAATGAAATAGTTTTGAGTAATGATAAAATTTTGGAGCCTACTTTTATTGCTGTTGTCAAGTCAATTCTGTTTCATGGAGACCCCAAGTGTGCAGAGTAGAACTGCTCCACAGGACTGTCAAAGCTGTGACCTTTCAGTAGCAGATCAACAGATCTTTTTTCCCAAGGAGCTGTTAAGTGTGCTTGAACTGCCAACTTTTAGGCTAGTAGTAGAATACTTAACCATTTGTACCACTCAGCCACTTTAGTTTTACTCTGACTACTCGACCCAGTTGAAGTATGGTTGGGGGCGCAATTTAATATCACCTGGTAGGTACTTACAAGTTAGGACTTGTACTTAGATAAATTGACACATATCCAGCATCCAGAAAAGAGAAAACACAAAGGAAGAACTTCTGGTTTCTAGCTCTCCTGCTCCACACCATACTCACCTCTGTGGATTTTTAGCTGTATCGGGTCACTTAGCACTGAGAGACCTGTTTTGCACCTATATTCACCACCATCACTGAACGTGGCAGCATTTAAACTGTATCTGGGTGTCAGGGTCTGGATGACTGAGCCATTGTGAAACCACTGGGTGGAGTTGTCTCCAGGCGGACTCCGCCCCTCACACTGTAAGGTTACACTTTCCTCTTGGAACACATTGATCCACGGAGGGGACAAGGTGATCACTGCCTTTGTGGTATCTGTTTGAGAATTAAAAAAAAAAAAAAGTAGGGTAGAAGTAAAGGACTCTGAGCAATTGGTAAAGTTTTACTGATAGCACCAGGAATAAAAATGATATATTTAGATTAGATTGGAAAATAGGCAAGTAGGAATCTACAAAGGTCAATCTTTAAGCGTGTCTAGACCCTGCTACAGAGAGTTCTGCTCATGTTATTAAATCCTCGTGTGGATGATGGGTATTTAGGGTTCCGATAAGTTGGAATCGACTCAGTGGCAGTGGGTTTGGTTCTTTGGTTTGGGGAAATTGAATTTCACTTTAGGTCTTACTGTTGATAGACAATGGGGCAAGGCTTTAAATAGGACAAACAATTAGACTGAATTATTATCCTTGGTGATATGCTGCCTCCAAGTGTTAACCACAAGCCTTAACTAGTATTTGCATTGGAAATGAAAGCTCAAACTCCTCACTTTGGAATCCTTAGTACCTGCCAGGCTCTCTCTGAGGAGGGAAAAAGGATTCAGCATTCTTTTAAAAGAGACTGGCTTGGGCAATGTTGGAAAACCAAGCAAAGCTCCTTGGTATTTTTGCAATTTTGGGCCTTTCCTGCTGCTATATATATACATCAGGGATCATTCAGAAAACCTAGAAAGAACGTTTAAAAAACAAAGAATATCAAAAGTTTACTCTGAATATAAGCCAATTAATGTAGAGTCGATTCCAATTCATGGAGGCCCCGAATATGTCAGAGAAGAACTGTGCATCACAGGGTTTTCAATAACTGGGTTATTTGGAGTATATTGTCAGATCTTTCTTCTGAGACTCCTCTTGTTGTTGTTGTTAAGTGCTGTTGAGTCAATGGCCCTGTATAGGGTTTCCAAGGAGTGGCTGAGCTTGAACCATGTACGTTGCAGTTCAAACTGACGTTGCATTCCAGTGCATTAACCCACAGTTCCACACCAGGATTCCGAGGCTCCTCTAGGTGTACTCAAACCTCTAACTTTTTGGTTAGCAGAGCAAGTATTTATCATTTGCATCACCCAGGCTCCATGTTGAAATGGTGCTGGTAGTGATTATGTGCCGTGGAGTCGGTTCTGACTCATTGTGACCCTACAAGGGGTTTCCGAGGCTGCAAATCTTTACGGGAGCAGAAAGCCTCATCTTTCTCCCGTGGAACAGCTGGTAGTTTCAAACTGCTGACCTTGAGGTTAGCAGCCCGATTCGTAACCACTATGCTACCAGAGCTCCTTTCATGCTGAAACAGGGGGTTTAGAAGAAATATTTCTCCTTTCTATCCTCTTCCTACCCTCTGTTCTTTAAGATAATGTTATCCATCCTTTGGAATTAGGAATGAAACAGAGGGAAGAGAAGGTGAGTTAGAGATCACTTACCCACTTGTAGACCTTCTGGAACTACAAGAGACCAGAGAATAGAAATATTAGTTGGTCACTAGGAAATGATGAGGGATATAAATATACAAATATAGATGCTAAAGGTTCAGGCTTAGGTCTCTTGAGTTTTTTGCTTTCTCTTTTTCCCCAAATCAGGGCACTAGTGCAACTGACAATCCGTAGGTGACTATTGACATGGGGCATCTTGGGTGAATGCTACCATATACATTTCTTCTCACCCTAAGCACCAACAAACAATAGAACTACACACATAGTTGTCTTAAGTAGAGATACTAAAGGAAGAAAGTAGAATCTTGAATCCCCCTTAGCAGAGCCAGGACTGTTCCAACTACCCCTCTTACTTAGCTCAACTTACCCAAAAGGAGCAGAGCAGTCAAAAGCCACATCTTTCCACAGTTGATGGGAGCAATGAAATCTGTAACAAGCAAGACACTGGGAAATTTAAAGAGTTGGGGGTTCTGGAACCAAAATTAGAAAAGAGGAAGGAAATGACTTCTGACTACTTTCATCATATTTCCTTTCTGGGAAATAGATATTCAGTCTTGAAGTGTGTACTTCTTATTCCAACATTTCATAACTCATATCCCTCAGTTTGAAGTTCTAATTTTTGGTGATATGGATTTCTCAGAATCCAAGGGAGGAACCAAAGTTCTGCTGACATTCCGATTATATTATCCCTCTACCATTTCTGTTCCTTGGGGCTAGAACATGGCAAAGCCTTATGTCTATCATTGGTTTTAGGCTTAGCTAAGGCCTTCCATACTTGGTTATGTGAATAAGGATGCTCCTAGATCTGCTTTTGTGAATCATAGGAGGAACAATTCATCTAAAAAGTTCCCCTAATACAAACCAGCCCCTGTTCCTCCAAAGAACACAGATAGGACCAATCTCCCATTTTTGTAAAATAGAAAAATGATATCTCCCTGAATATCTTTATAAATTTTGAGTATGTATCTTGAAAGTAACATGGACTGCCAGAAGAACAGACAATTCTGTCTTAGAGACTTTGTCTATCATACTTTGGGCATATTGTTAGGAGGGAACAGTCCCTGAAGAATGATATGATTGGCAAAGTGGAGGGTCAGAGAAAAAGAGGAAGACTCCCAATGAGATGGATTGATGCAGTGGCAGTAACATGGGGCTCAAATATAACAACAATTGTGAAGATGGTGTGGGGCTAGCAGTGTTTCATTCTGTTGTGCATAGGATTTCTATGAGTTGGAACTGATTCGATGGCACCCAACAACAACAATCTTGGCTAAATCCAAGGAAATTAAAGATAAATAAGCTTATGCTTTATAAAAATCCTATAGAGAATAAAAAATAACTCAGATATATGGGCAAAATCTTAAGAAGGGCGTTCTTATGAAAGTGAGTTGGTTCCAGAAACAGAGTTGTAAAGATACATTATTTTTAAGTATTTTGTTAAGTGGGAAAAAGAGCTCAAAAACAAGGATGCTATTCAAAGAATGTAAAAAAGAGACTTGGGTAGCAATCTCACTGGGAGAAATTTTTAAATGAAAACAAATGTGTGATAAGGTTTCCAAGCAAAATTCTCATAGGACCTCCCTTGAAGAATGAGCAGCTACATTGTCCTTGATGGAAACCAATTCCTCAGCACAACGTTCCTGGCCCTTTTCTCATTAAGGCAGTTTTCAATTTTCTTAAAACTTCTTCATAATAAGGCCCTATGGTTGATCTGTGTCCTTTGAGAAAATCTATCAAGCTGACCCCCTTTGAATCTCAAAAAATAGACAGCATAACCTTCTGAACTGATCTCTCTGCCAGCAGATCTTCTCAGAAGCCACTCTTTTAATTGTCTCTTTTTTGGAAGGCACCTTAATGACAAGTGTATTAATGATAGAACTTGTTTGGAGTCATCCATTGATTACAAAGACATGTTTAAATACTTTTTGTTTGGAATAAATCCATAAATTGGAACCCTAGTAACAATATTTTCTGACTTACCCTCATAATGTTATACATTGAATTATTGACTACAATTTCTCACCCTTCCTTGAATCCCTAATATCTTACCTCCGGGAAGGGCTAGAATACTTTCCTGACCCATGACTTTGTCTTATTCATGTGACTAATGAAATGTTTGTGGCAACAATACTGCTAATTCTGAGCCTAGATCCTTAGGAAGCTTCACATGCTATCTCTCACCCCCTGTGCCTCTGCCACTGTTGTGACAAGATGGTACTCTGGCTAGCCAGTCATGGTGTGAAGCAGAGCTATCCCAGCCACTGTGACCCAAAGTAGAACTGTCCCAACTGACCTGCCAACTTGTGAGTGATAAATAATTGCTTATTGCTACATGCCCCTGAGACTTTGATATTGTTTGTTATGGAATAATAGCTGACTTATATTAATAAAGAACAAGGGACTGGGGACAACTCCAAATGTCTAGAGAGAGATGGGGAAACCCTCAGCTCTTTGAAATTTATGTTCAGAGCTCATACTCATAACAATTACATTGTTTTGTCTCTAAAGTTACCTACATTATGCATGTAATTTATTTCACCAACACCTCTTGATGGACATATAGATTATTTCTAAATTTTTAGTGTCAATACCAATATTACAATGAATAGTTTTATGCCTATACTAAATACATGACTTAATTATTTCCTTAGGATGTTTTCCTAGAATCATCACTGCTCAAAGAATATGCAACATTTTTACTTGGATAGATGTTGCTACATTGCCTACCATCATCACTGCATATATTTGTAGAGTGCAATCTAACAACATCTATCCAAAGTATTTAACATAGGTATACAACTAACCCACCACACATCTGTCAGTTTGTTATACTGTGGTGGCTTGTGAGTTGAGCAGGGTCACCCATGGTGGACAGGTTTCAGATGAGCTTCCAGACGAAGACAGACTAAGAAGAAGGAGAGACGAACTACTTCCGAATATTTAGTCAATGAAAACCTTATGAATAGCAGAGGCACACTGTCAGATATAGTGCCAGAAAATGAGCCCCTCAGGTTGGAAGGCACTCAAAATGCAACAGGGGAAGAGCTGCCTCCTCAAAGTACAGTTGACCATGATGACGCGAATGGATTAAAGCTCATGGGCGAAAAGCCCTCAGGACCTTCATTAGCTGATGAGGCACAACTCAAAATGAAGAGAAACAAGTGTAAACATCCATTAATAACTGGAACATGGAATTTATGAAGTATGAATCTAGGAAAATTAGAAATTGTAAAAAATGAAATGGAGCATATAAACATTGATATCTTAGGCATTAGTGAGCTGAAACTGACTGGTATTGGCCATTTTGAATTTGATAACCACATGGTTTACTGCCGAGAACCTGCCTCGACATAGGTGTTGGGTTCATGAGGTGGGGATATCTGGTAGCTGTAGAAATATAGAGATACACACAAGGACACAAAGAGAGAGACAAAGAGACACCCCGAAACCAGAGTGGATGTGGGACTGGCATCAGGCAGATCCTGCATTGCAAACATCTCAGCCATGAGGGCCGTAAGATCCTGCATAGTAAACATATTGGCTAAACAGGCAGTATGGTTGCAATGCTGGACTGAGCCCCCTGCATGCTGTAACGCACGCCTTGCCAGTCGTAATGCACCTGGATTTGTTCTGCGCCTCTGTTTTATTTAGGGGAGGTACTTTACACAAAGCTGGGCGGGACTAAGACAAGGTACAGCT